CGGAATGGCACTGCAAGTGCCCTCTTGCACATAGATGAGTCTGCTGGGCTTGGCAGACTGGCTAAACAAAAACCAAAGAAAAGGAGAAGACCTGATTCCAGGCAGTACCAAACAGGTGAGGGTGCACAAGTTCCACAGTGCAGTGTGCTCTGTGAGCTCTCAAATGAAACTAGTATGTATCCACAGAAGTGTTAATGATAGCAATTTAGCTGCTAGATCACATGTAGCTTTTCTTTATTAAATTTGAAAATATAATTTTAAGAATTCAGTGATATTCATGAATGATTTCCTAGAATAAAAACAACAGATTTTGAGTCAGAATAAACTCTCAGGTTATTTTAGGAGAAATTAAAATAAATCCCTAAAATATTTTCTTTAACTTTAAATGAACAAATTTAAAGATTATTTCTATCAGCATAAGCAGGGCTTCTTTACAGAGGAGCAGGACAAATATTTCAGTTGTATACTGGACAGTTCCTTTGCAGTAAAATCTTATATGTTGATTTGCCTATTATAGTTTTTTTAATTAGGTGTGGTTAAACTTTAAGTTGGTATAAATATGACATAATAGTAATAAAACTGAAATGTTGAACTTTGTTTTTGTGGTATCTGTAGATATCCAAATGTATGTGGCTTTACTATTTTAAACTGGGAGTGAGATTGGTACAGATATACTGAATGAAGTTTCTGACCTAGATTTTGGTCAGATTTTGGAGTTTGCTGTTACCTCTTTTATTTAAAATCAGTGGGAAGAATATTAACCTTTAGGAGTACTTGCCCAATAATGTTCAGAACACACACTTCAAATGCTTGAAGAAACGAAAACAAACCGTTGTTTGATCACGCATGTTCATTTCTCTTCCTTTCTTAGCAATAATTATTGGCCCTGATGGACATCCCTTAACTGTCTATCCTTGCATGATTTGTGGGAAAAAATTTAAGTCAAGAGGTTTTTTGAAAAGGCACATGAAAAACCATCCCGAACACATTACCAAGAAGAAGTACCACTGTACTGACTGTGATTACACTACCAACAAGAAGATAAGTTTACACAACCACCTGGAGAGCCACAAGCTCACCAGCAAGGCCGAGAAGGCCATCGAATGTGATGAGTGTGGGAAGCATTTCTCTCATGCTGGGGCTTTGTTTACTCACAAAATGGTGCATAAAGAAAAAGCCAACAAAATGCACAAGTGTAAATTCTGTGAATATGAGACAGCTGAACAAGGGTTATTGAATCGCCACCTTTTGGCTGTCCACAGCAAGAACTTTCCTCATATTTGTGTGGAGTGCGGTAAAGGTTTTCGTCACCCGTCAGAGCTCAAGAAGCACATGCGAATCCATACTGGGGAGAAGCCGTACCAGTGCCAGTACTGCGAATATAGGTCTGCAGACTCTTCTAACTTGAAAACGCATGTAAAAACTAAGCATAGTAAAGAGATGCCATTCAAGTGTGACATCTGTCTTCTGACTTTCTCAGATACCAAAGAGGTGCAGCAACATGCTCTTATCCACCAAGAAAGCAAAACACACCAGTGTTTGCACTGCGACCACAAGAGTTCGAACTCGAGCGACTTGAAACGACACATAATTTCAGTCCACACAAAAGACTACCCCCACAAGTGTGACATGTGTGACAAAGGCTTTCACAGGCCTTCCGAACTCAAGAAACACGTGGCTGCCCACAAGGGTAAAAAAATGCACCAGTGTAGACATTGTGACTTTAAGATTGCAGATCCATTTGTTCTAAGTCGCCATATTCTCTCAGTTCACACAAAAGATCTTCCGTTTCGGTGTAAGAGATGTAGAAAGGGATTTAGGCAGCAGAATGAGCTTAAAAAGCATATGAAGACACACAGTGGCAGGAAAGTGTACCAGTGTGAGTACTGTGAGTATAGCACTACAGATGCCTCAGGCTTTAAACGGCATGTTATCTCCATTCATACGAAAGACTATCCTCACCGTTGTGAGTACTGCAAGAAGGGGTTCCGACGACCTTCAGAAAAGAACCAGCACATAATGCGACATCATAAGG